CTCTCCCGAGTGAGCCACAGGCCAGCCCCCCAAAAGTTACATTCTTATGATAAAGTCTAAAAACAATTATTTCTAAAGTTTCCCCCAACAGACAGCTTGCCCCTAGAGACTTTATAGCCTGGGGAAAATTTCCTGTCCTTTGCAAGGTCAATATTTGAAACTGCAAAGATTTGGAAAACCAGGCCCTGTGAAGTACATATGCTTTTCTGCATATTCCACAGTTGGGTGGTGGCAGGATGGAGAAATAATGTCGTCCTAGGGGCATGGTCTGAGGAGAGGTGGACAGCCAGGTAGGCTGGTGGGAAATGTGGTTACTGGGGGCTGCACTTCCCAGTGCTTGGGCCCAAGCTGAGCACAGCCCAGGAGCTGGCACTGGGGCCATCCTGTCAGGAAGGTGAGGAGGCCAAGGTCTCACCCTGAGGGAGAGTGGGGACTGGGCTCCTTACTGGGTGCTGTGGTACGGGAACCTGTCTTTTGGCTAAGGGCCACGCAGGTGTGATGGGTGGGTTGAGAGGAGCACAGCCCCTCCCAGGAGCTGAGTGGCTGACATGCAGTAGTGCTGGGGTCGTCTGCTCCTTCTTGTCCTTCCTGCACTGGAGGCACTGCCTCAGCCACCTTGCAGTCAACAGGCTATGCAGACACACCAAGCACCCTGCACCTGTGCCTTGACTTGTCCCCTCTCAGGTTCCAGGGCTCAGCCTTTGTTTCTTCTTCTGCAGAAGAAGAAAGGGGCCTGGGGCAGGCAGTGTGCCCAGCTCACAGCCAGCATTGGGGTGGGATGTTAGCCCTTGGCACCTTATGTCACGCCCTCAGGTCCAGTCCTCGTGCAGCTGCCCTGCAGATGCCAAGCATCATGCATCTGCCCACATCTGATGATAGGTGTGAGGTTCACCTTGGGGTCAGAGGGAGGGTTACACACCACGCCTGAGCTGAAGGAACAGTCTGGCAGGCCAAGGGCCTCCCTTTGACTCTGGGCAGAGCTGTGCCCTCCAGAGGGGACACTCAGGAGAATGGTGCCCATTCCATCCCTGGGTTAGCACAGGACTTTGGGAGACAGGGTGTCTGTGTTGCTGAAGTAGGTAAAGGTCACTGTTCTGTTGGCATTGCATGTGGACTCCCTCGTTGCTGGCTGCTACACGTGACGTACTCCCTGTCTTCTATTCCCCACAGAGCTTGCTCAGGTTCGTCTCCAGTGTGCGAAGGACGCGGCTTTGGAGATCGACAAGGAGGTGGCGGCCAGAATCTTGGGTTTGGAAACCGAGCACAAGGTTAAACTTTCACTTTTCCAGACTGAGCTCAAGGAGGAAATTGAACTCTTGAGAATAGAAAACAGAAGTTTACATGAGAAGTTGCGTCATGAAATTCGTCTGAAAGAGGACTTGGAGAAAGTAAGTAGTCTCCTCATACCTGGATATCTTTCCTGACAGTCTCACTCTCCCAGTGGAAGGCTGTGTTCTTCGTGTTTACAGCCAGGCCCTGTGCCCACCGGGTCCTGGGGACGGCCCCAGACCACATGCGTCTCATTTATAACTGTCTCTCGCAATGCCATCAGTGGTGTTTGGGTAGAACTTCCTCAGGATCAGGACAGGATTCCATCCTGAGTCAAGCCAGAGTTCTGACTCTTAGGGATGCTGGCCAGATGTCCTTAGAGGGGCTTCAGGAAGGGGCATCAGCCAGGGTGGTGGAAGCTTGTGCCCCCTTCTGACATTGTTCATCCCAGCATCTGAATTATGTCCTACGTTCTCCATGCTCTTCCTGGTGACTATTTTGCAACTGTGGAAAATGCATACCATTTGGTATGTGTGATAAAGTCACTGCTGCCCCATGATGCATGTTGACAAAGTGACAGGACATATACCTGCACACAGTTGTTAATGGGCTTCATTATACAGCTGGTGCAGTTCAAGGTTTGGTCACAGTGTTGGAAAAAATAATTAAAGTGAACTCAAATTTTTATGTCTTCTTCATGTCTATTTTGACTAAACCATGTCCTTTCAGTTTCTGCTTGTGAGCAGGGGTGATTTTTCATATTTTGTGTTCAGCTGCTCTCACTGCCCTGCTTTTCCTGTGAATGTCTTCTTGGATTTTCATTTCTCAACAAAACGAGAGTTTCACGGGAAACTATTATTACCTGCAGGGTTGATCACCATATTATTTTTTATTTTTATTATTTTTATTTTGTCAATATACAATGTAGTTGATTATTGTGTCC